AAAAGTCTCAGGTCAACTGGTGGCCTCTGAGGGTCAGGTCAAGTGCCCCGAGGGCCAAAATACGATTTCGGGTTTTGAGAAATAGCATTGCCAAAAAACGGCGCAGAGTCGCGATTTTAGTACCATCATGTTTGTCATGCTCCGGTGCGTCAAAATGGTTCACTTTTGTTTGGATGGGGTCAACATAAGGTGTTCACATCGGGTCAAAGCCAGGTCAGAGGCACTCAGGTCACGAACTTGGTCGGAGGAGGTTATATCGTATATCATTCGATTCGGTAGGTCTTCCCGAGTCTATTGGCGACTTTTCCGACTTGCCAGTTCAATTTTATCAGGAGTTATTGACGAAAAAACTTGTGACCTTTGTGACGTCATAAATGACGTCACGCTAGGTTAAAGATGCAAAAGTGAAGCATTGGACATTGCAAGAATTGCATGAAATTGCGATTCCATGTGCTTGAGCTAGACTTAGATCATTCTCGGCGTCAAAATTAGTTTCCGTATTTTCCCCATTGACTTGTAATGGTGACGTCACGCGATCGGCCTGACCTCATGTGACCTCTAGGAGAAATCCGAGATATACAAGTTTTGAGGCTCCTAGAGGATACTAGGTCCTGTAAGTACCATCTCGCTGTGATAGCTCATCTGGCACCGAGGGCATTGCGAAGTTTCGGTATTTTGGGACTATTGCAGAGGTTCACGTGTAACGTCATAGGTCAGTGATCTGACCTGAGACGGAAATGCAATTGGTTTCCGAAGATGCGTATGGAAGCAAAGATAAGGTGTGCCAAATAGCAGCCCTCTAGCTGTAAGGTGTTTTGAGCTATCGCCAAAAGACGTGAATGGAGCGCTACTGACTCCTCCGGTCTGCCGCCGGGGCCGGTTAGGAGGCGTGCAGGGTATCGGAAAACCACCTGGTACTTTGCGAATTTTGCCGATAAAAATACGTTTCTTATGCCGACTTATAGCCAAAAGACTACTGAATCTCAAACCAGTCGTATCCTTGCACTAAATGGCTTGGTTTAGACACGATAGGTCTGAAAAGAAAAGGTCCCATGTATTATCTATGGGCGCCGCGAGGCTGTTACATTTTTGACCCCAGGTCATGTCAGGTCAGGTCACCAGGTCAAGTTAACTGACCAAGCCTAAAAAAAAGTTTGCGATCATGTCCAGCCTGCAGTGTTTGTCAGAAAGGTTTCAAACTTGGTGGATTGCATGATGTTATAGACGCCTACAATTTGTATATCTCGGATTTTTTATATCTGTGACCTAAGGTCAGGTCAGTGTCGTGACCTTACCATTATAAGGCAATGGAGAAAAATGAAAATGTCTCTAGATCCGTGTGTACGCATAGGAAAAGTCCAAATATTTCAGAATCACAATGATTTGGACCACCCGTGATGACCAAGGTGTCATTTTTGCTGATAGCCTCTAGAAAGGTCATCCGAGGTCATTTGAGGCTACAAACAGATTTTTGCCAATAACTCTCGATTGGAAAGAGATAGAACGCTGGGGATGGCTTCATTGTGTTTGTCTTGCCGAGACGCATCGACTGATATGCAACATGACCTTTTCCGGTCAGGTCATGACCTTGACCTGAGGTCAAATTTTCAAGTTCACCTTTCAAGGTCAAATTATAGTTCATTCGATGCGTCTCGGCGAGAGGAACACGATTCCGGCAATAGAAATGTCGTGGCTTTTTTTAGTCGAAAGTTATTGTCGAAAAACACTTTTCGTAAAAACAGCTATTTTTGGAGTTTTTGCCCTCTAAAGGCTAAACCGTTGACCTGAGGTCAATTTTGATGATGACCTTTTCATAAGAAGAGTTAAAAAGCTATCGATTGCTTTGCCATTCGTTTTTCTAGCTATCATAGTTCCTGAGATAAATGCATGTTTTCTGAGAAATATAATGACATTTGGCAAGTTTTGACCTTTGATGACCTCCAGTGACCCCAATATTGTTCTAAGATGAAAATGACCTAAGTACTTTCAAACGTACGCATTGAGAGCTATCGACTGCTTTTTACCGCGTCTTCCTAGCCCTCTTAGTTTTTGAGTTAGAGGTGGGTGGTAACATATGCCCCCCCCCCCCCCCACTAGGGCGAAGTTGGCTGAGACTGCCACTGGGGCGCGGGTTATTTCTGTCCGGGTTTTAATATCCGGAGAAATCGGGATACCGGTACTCATAAGTGTAAAATTACCCATAGAGGGGTAAATTTTTCTCTGTGTGTATGGGCACCTATAATTTGTATATCTCGGATTTGTTATATCCGTGACCTAAGGTCAGGACAGTGACGTGACCATTCCATTATAAGTCAATGGAGAAAAATGAAAATGCCTCTAGATCCGTGTGTACGCATAGGAACAGTTCAAGTATTTCAGAATCACAATGATTTGGACCGTCAGTGACGACCAAGGTGTCTTTTTTGCTGATAGCCTCTAGAAAGGTCATCCGAGGTCATTTGAGGCTACAAACAGATTTTTGCCAATAACTCCCGACTGGAAAGAGATAGAACGCTGGGGATAACTTGATTGTGATTGTCTTGTCGAGATGCATCGAATGATATGCAACATGACCTATTTGGATCACCACGTGACCTTGACCTGAGGTCAAAATTTGACCTTGACCTTTCCAGGTAAAAAATATATGTTTCAAAGGGGCTGAAGAAGAGAAACACGATAGTGCCATTGCCACTTCTTCATCTTTGCTGGTTTAAAAGTAATTCGTGAAAAAGTTGTATCCAAAAATCAGCTATTTTCACAATATTTGACTTATGGAGGCTTAACCATTGACCTGAGGTTAATTTTGATGATAACCTTATCAAAAGAACAGTTCAAAAGCTATCGATTTCTCTTCCATGCGTTTTTCTAGCTATCATAGTTCCTGAGATAACTGCATGTTTTCTGAAAAATATAACATTTGGAAAATTTTGACCTTTGATTACCTCCAGTGACCCCAAAATTGCTCTAAGATGAAAAATGACAGAACTTTTTTCAAACGCACGTATTGAGAACTATCGACTGCTTTTTTACCGCGCCTTTCTAGCCCTCTTAGTTTTTGAGTTAGAGGTGGGTGGTAACATATGCCCCCCCCCCCCTAAGCCAAAGTTTGCTGAGACCGTCACTGGGGCGCGGGTTAACCCTCGCCGGCACAGGGGGCTGATGCACCCCTCAAGGTTTGTTCGCAAATAACTCGCGTAAAAAGCGGGCTATCGCGACGAAACTTTGAATACCCTCGCGTCGATCAGTTTTACATCTACTCTGAAAATTTCATGATCCTGACCCAAATGACCATTGACCTGCGACCTACTTTTCGAGACCATGTTTGGCCGGAATCGCGATTCGGCGTGTGTCGGCTCCAGTCGGCTCGCATTAGCCGCGCGTTTGCAGTCTTGTATGTAGTGGTTTCAAGCGTTCAAGCATGGGATATGATGTTGCTCCCATGCATTAGGGTGGGTGTCAAGGTCACCTGAATGTCAGGTCAGGTCATTGACCTTTGATGACCACGGTTCACTTTTTGGAGATTAACATGTTTCTAGGCTAGTTTTGGAGCTGAATTCGAAATTAGCCACCATTTAAGCATTTACGAAGTGGTTTTGGTGCCTTCGTAATGTGTTAAGAAGCTCTCAGAGGCGGCTGACACGTAATACGAATACCCGGCAGAACCCTTTATATTTGACCTTACCTGACCTGACCGGGCCTAAATGCATGAAGACATCATCTGTGGTCAAAACTAACATGATATTCGTGATCAACTCCCCGAAAAAAAATCCCATAGCAGCCACACTTTACGACGTTCTAACAGGTCCCGATTTTCCCGACTTTTAAGTAATTGACCTGACCTGGGATCTTAAATTGGGTACCATTGGCTTTTTCTCGTGACGGGCAACACGCCGTTTTTTCCACAAAGCTCTAGCTCGATCAGGGGCCAAACGCGAGGGGGTCGTACCCCCTCCCCCCCCCCTTGTGCCATCGAAGGACGCAAAATGGTCTGTGCCGGCGAGGGTTAAATACTGCCAAGAGTTTGTCATTGCGTGATATATCTAAAAAAAACATCAAGCTCCTGAACGTGGTCGTGTGCTACGTAACCGGAAACTCAATAGGACGTGGAATTTAGTGAAGCAAAACTACAGAAGTGAGGCTGGCCACGCCATAATCAAGTGAGATATGTCGAGCTCTTCTTCGGCCGCCAAGGCTGCGCTAAACTACCCCCGGGTTCCGCGTCTCTCGGACTACGAAGATGCTACGTCGTCGGGTCAATCCCGTTCAAGGTCAGCGGGGCCTTGGCTGCGGTTATGGAGCGGGAATGGCCATCTGCGAGACTCCGAACCTGGGGTATGTTGCAGCACAGCTATGTGAACGGGGTGTCGTTGCAAGCCACCCCTCTCAACGAGAAACATATTACCGTCCTCCCTAGGCTATGACTAGGCTAAGCTAGGTGGCAGCACAGTCGCGCCGGCAGGGGGCAGTGCCACAACCAGCCGACTGACATTTCCGTGTGACGTCAGAACCGGTGCCTCCCTGACCTGAGGAGTGCTCCGAGCTGTTCCGCCTTTTGTCCGAGTCGTGCTTCTTCTCAAAGCACGCGCGGTGAAGCGGCCGGGCGCAGCCGGCTACCAAGCCGAGTCACTTTACAGATAGCGCTAGGCTCGTGCTCACCGCGAGAAAGGTCACTTGTGCTCATGTGCGCAAAAATGGTGCATCTCCGGGTGGGATTAAAAAAACATGCGTGCGGAAAAGATGTCTAATCAAGCCGCCGTTTTTTAGATATTCGCGAAAAACCGCAGGGGGGGGGGGGGTCAAAAACCCTACAGCAGGGCGCGGGTTTGGCAATTATTCATAGTGAGGCTCCATGGGTATCATAAGCTAAGCAGTGCCATTTTGAACGTTACAGTTTGTTTGCCACTGAGATCAACAATTTAACCACAAATAATTTCTAGCACTTTTCCGGGCCGCTAGCCCAGTGTATGCTCGTTGCATTTACCCTTTGCTGCCGTTCTCAGGCTGCCAACGGAGGAGTGGTGATGGTCAGCTTTTACAACTACTTCCTGACCTGCAACGGTACTGCTCACATGACGGACGTGGTCGGTGAGTGTTGGAGATCCGCTCACATGACGGACGTGGTCGGTGAGTGTTGGAGATTCGCTCACAGGACGGACGTGGTCGGTGAGTGTTGGAGATCCGCTCACATGACGGACGTGGTCGGTGAGTGTTGGAGATCCGCTCACATGACGGACGTGGTCGGTGAGTGTTGGAGATCCGCTCACATGACGGACGTGGTCGGTGAGTGTTGGAGATCCGCTCACATGACGGACGTGGTCGGTGAGTGTTGGAGATCCGCTCACATGACGGACGTGGTCGGTGAGTTGGAGTGGAGATCCGCTCACATGACGGACTAATATAGTCGGTGAGTGTTGGAGATCCGCTCACATGGCGGACTATATAGTCGGTAAGTGTTGGGGATCCGCTCATGGCAGACGTGGTCGGTGAGTGTTCGCAATGTGATCGCAATATTCATACCGGGTGCCCCCTCCTAAAAAGCTCCGAATTTGAAGGTTTCAGTGACAATGTTGCTAATGCTGCAGACCTTTGACATCTTCGTGAGCAGCGGGTAGCATTTCGGGTATAGTTCGTACTCAGGGCACTTATAAGGAGAATATGGGCTTTCTTATTTCTTAACCCGCGCCGGGCCGGTGCTCCGCGACTTCCGAGCCAGGCCGGGGGGGGGGTGTCCCAACCCCCCCCCCCGCCGTCTAACTCGGCTCCTGGGCCACGTAGCGACACGCGGTAAGTGGCATTCGAGAGAACATCGAAAATAATTACGGAAACACTTCAGCCATTTTTTGGGTCAGGTCAAAGGTCAGGGCGCCAGAGGTCATCAAACATCAAATATAGTCAATTTCAACAATTTTGGAAACTGCCAGCGGCTAACTCGGGAACCAATAGAGCTACAGCGCCGCGGAAAAGCGCATTCGATAGCCCTTTTACAGACCTTTTTGATCATTGTTCTCAGATTTGACCTCAGGTCAACGGTTTAGCGTCCAGAGGGCAAAAACTGTTAAAATAGCAGTTTTCACGAATATGGTTTTTCGTCCATAACTTTTGACTCAATAAAGCCGCGACATTACTTTTGGCAGCATCGTATTCCTCGCGTCGAGACGCGTCGAATGGACTGTTTGTTGACCTTGAAAGATCATTTTGAAAATTTGACCTCAGGTCAAGGTCATACCTGACCGGAAAGGGTCATGTTGCATATCAGTCGATCCGTATCGTCGAGCTGAATGCATCTGACGTGCGTTCATCGCTCTAGCTCGTCTTTATCAAAAGTTATAGCCAAAAAAACTGCTGGTGACCGTTTATGACCTGAAATGACCTCAGAGGCACACAGAGGGGTCACAGCCATTTTTCCGATTCAGTGTGTCATGTTTACCTATGAACCGATGTTTGAGTAGCATTCGTGGTCGCCGACCTCATCGGCAGGACGGAGCTTTATTTGAGCCCTGCAAGCGCCCCCGCTGCCCCCCCCCCCTCCTGTTCCCGGGTCTATGTAAGATTGATTTGAAAGGGATGTGACAATGCAACATGGTGCATTTTCTGAAGCTGTCAAGCTCATGATGATGAAGGAACAATTGGTATCTATAATTAGTATTCTGTACCAGAGTGCAAGCTCCCCTACTTATGATGGCAAATGATAAAACGATAAAACCATTACAGGTTTCCAAATGCTTCACCACTTTCAATGTTGCTGGGCATCCTTTGCATGATTTTTACAGGATAGACTGCTTATCAGAATGTAAGATTAAGGATTTAAAAGTATATATTACTTAAGTACTTAAGAATTAAGATTGAGCTTGAAATCTCACAGCCGTAGCCGTGTTCTTGGAGATATTTGCAGCCGCCCCGGCCGACAGCCATGGGACTGCAGCCAGCCGCGGCTGCAGCCGGCCGGTGCAGACCTCTAAACAGGTCACTACATCACTTCAAGTAACCTCACTTCAGAAAACTTGAATGTTCGTCATAGCTACACCGACTGAATTATCGCATTGAAACTTACAGCGGTTGGTACGAGTAGCAGTAATATACACACATCGGGTTACAACATAACGAATAGCAGAATGTATAAAATGTTCATCTCGGAGTTTTTATATCGGTGACTTACGGTCAGGTCAATTTTGCGCCCTCTCTATTATGAGTCAATGGGAGAAAATCGAAAGGCGACTCTTTTGGACGAACGTCATTCCAAACACGTTACAGGTAAAATAGACACGTTAAATCAAAAAATTGTAACCATGAACCCTCTATTTCCCTGGGGTCATATCAGGTCATGAAAGGCCCTAGCAGTATTTTTGACAATAACTTTTTATGCAGAGACATGCTAGAGCAATGAAAACACATTCGATTTGTTCAGGTCGAGAATCGGATCTACTGATATGCAAAATGACCTTTTCCGACCAGGTCATTTTCTTGACCCAAGGTCAAATTTTCAAAATACCTTTTGACTTTTAAAGACCAAATTATGTTCATTTGAGCCATCTCGACGAGAGATTTCGACGTTTCTTGAGTCAAAAGTTATTAACCCGCGCCCTGCTGGGGGTCCTGGATTTCCACGCCCTGCTGGGGGGGGGGGGGGTGTTTGAACACCCCCCCTTCTAACTCGGCTCCTGGGCCACGTAGCGATACGCGAAAGGCGGCGTTCGAAAGAGCGTCAAAAATAATGACGAAATCACTTCGGTCAATTTTTTGGTCAGGGCAAAGGTCAGGTCACCAGAGGTCATTGAAGGCAAAATTTCGCCGATTTCCAGGTCGAATGTCGAAAATTTCCAAGAAGCCAACGCATAACTCGGGAACCAATAGAGCTACAGCGCCGCGGAAAAGCGCATTCGATAGCCCTATTAACGCCCTTTCTGAGTAATTCTCTCAGATTTGACCTAACGTCAACGGTTTTGCCTGCAGGGGGCAAAAACTGCAAAAATAGCCGATTTTTTCGAAAACAGTTTTTCTGCAATAACTTTTGACCCAAGCCTTGTACGAGCTTACTTTTACCGCCATCGTGTTCCTCTCGTCAAGACGCATCGAATGAACTATAACTTGACCTTGAAGGGTCAACTTGAAAATTTGACCTCAGGTCAAGGTCATGACCTGACCGGAAAGGGTCATGTTGCATATCAGTCGATCCGTATCGTCGAGCTGAACACATCTAAGGCGTTTTCATCGCTCTAGAATGCCTCTATCAAAAGTTATTTGCGAAAAACTGTTAGATACCATTCGTGACCTGAGATGACCTCAGGGCATAAACAAGGGTCACGGACACCATTTTCAAGTTCAGTGTGTCTCAATTTTCTCCCATTGACTTATAATGGGGAGGTCGCAAAATTGACCTGACCTTAGGTCATCGATATCAAAATTCTGAGATATACATTTTGTACATGCTATTGCCCTTAGCAATCGCTGAAAGTTTCAAAGGGATCGGTCACTCGGTGTAGCTATGACAGACATTGAAAGTTTTTATGAGGTGAGGTCACTTCAAGTGACCTGGTGACCTGACCTTGAACGACCTTGGTCTGAAATTTTCACAACATGTGTAGAATTGATGTATGATAAGGTGTACCAAAAACGGCGGCGCTCCGCGCCGCCGTTTTTGAGATATTCGCGAAAAACCACAAGGGGGGGGGGGTGTTCAAACACCCCCCCAGCAGGGCGCGGGTTAAAAAAAACATTGTTCGTAAAAGCAGATACTTTCAATTTTACCATCTGGCGGCTAAACCGTTGACCTGAGGTCAAATGTGAGCAATGTCTTTAGAAAAAGCGTTGATAAGGCTATCGAATACGTTTTTCTGCGGCGCTGCAGCTCTGTTGGTTCTTGAGATATGCGCCAGTATTTCGAAATGTGTTGACATAGGCAAGATTTTTTCCTTTGATGTTCTCTGATCTGGTGACCTGACCTTTGACCAGACTTAAAAAATGACTGCTTTTGTCTTGATTTTCGAAGCTCTTTCGAATGCCGCTTTCCGCGTGTCGCTACGCGGCCCAGGAGTCGAGTTGGAAGGAGAGGGGTGTTCAGACACCCACCGGCCCGGAGCGGTTCGCACCCAGGACCGGCCTGGCGCGGGTTAAGGAGAGAGGCTAACCCGTGACTATTTTTGCTGGATCAAAGCCGGTTGAAGGGAAACTGCAGGGTGGTTTTATGCAGGGTCCGACAAAAGTGTTGTCCTCTACCTAGGACAACACTTATCCGGTTTCTAATCGTTTCTGCCCCTAAGGGATAAATATTTTGGCTGCACCTCTGCATTGTACGGTCCTTGGCCGCGGAACATGAGGTCGCGACCGAACCTCGGATCATGGGTCACCGAGCTACTGCCAGTTATACACAGATAGATTGCCCCCCCCCCCCTCCCCCGAATGGCCGCGTCACAAAATGAAGGCAAAATGAAGGTAATGAATTTCAATCTCGGGGAGCTGAACCAGATAGTCGACATGCTTCAGGCCAAAATAACACAGCGTGTTATTGCTGGTCAGTTGGGACATCTGCCTGCACAGTCCCGCACTGGTGGGATAAGCATACGGCTGCAGGCAGTGTTGCTGATTGTCCGAGATCGGGCAGTCGCCCATCATTTGGCCCGGGGAAGAAATCGCATTGAAATGGCGGCCAGGAAGAGTGGCCAATTGGTGAATAATTTGGCAAAGCTGCTCCCATCTCCAGACAGGACCATGAGACGCTAGATATTAGAAGAGTTCACGGAGGCTCATTACCAACAATAGCCTCCAGCGGCTCAGATATTAGTCGACGGATGGCCTCGACGGTGGATGACAGGTCAACACGCATTTTCATGCAGGACGGCGCGCCAGCCCATTGCTCTACCAATGTCTAGGCGTTTGTCCGAATCGAACCTGCCGGAATTCTGAAGAAATTAACCGGATACCATCCGGACCCTAATCCTGCTCGAGGATCTTTGGGCTACCTTACAGCAAAACATGGACAAATAGAAGCCAGCGAGCCAGCCTCGGCGCCCTGCAGTTACAGCCAAACGGACATAGTCGAGAATAAAGTCGTCTGTGCTGCATAAGCTGGTTGCCAGCACGTCAAATTG